AAAAATTCTAGATCTTATATTTACCATTTAAATATAGCCAGAGGTGGCATTCAACATTCAACTGAATATAGGATTTAATTCAAAGTCCTATTACTGGATAAAAATTTCAAATGTATAAAAAAATATTTCACTGCAATCTAATATTAATTAAAAGTAACCTTAAAATACTTACACAGATTTGAGGAAACTGATGTAGTCTGCCCAGACCTGGTACGACATTATGTCCATGCCAATCTTATCCAGAGCAAAGTCGTATGCCTGTGCCATCTTTTCTCTGAATTCAAAGCACTTTTATTAGCATTGAGCCATATTTAGAATTGTTTTCATCTAAGACAAACACATATATATAATCTGAGCTTCAAGTCCAATGTGTACCAGCTTCTCTTCAAATTTTCAAATCTCAAAAATGTGCATAAGCATATGCTAATGTGGGAATTTGAAAATGGGAAAAGGTCACTCACACCCTCTTTTAAAGTCAGGATAAAAAACAAGAAGGTCATGTTCTGTGTGAAGCTTCAATTGATTAAGAGGGGCTATTTTTGCTGTAAAACAATTAAACTTTAAACTTTACTGCTTTTTCAAAATTACATTCCTTATGAATCACTCAAGTTTTGGGGGTGATGTCCTCATAGACACAGGGTTAGGTTTCTACTTTTATGAATACATAAAAGTTGTGATTTTTCCTTAAAATCAGGTATACATACCTGTAGGAGGGAAGACTTCCTTTCGCTTCTTTTATATAATTAAGATACGTTTTCCATAAGTCAATGTTTAAAATCTTGATAAGACATCTTTGGAATAACTGAAAGGAAAAGAAAAACACTCCATTCAATTAATTGAATATACTTTTGACTGGCACTATTTTTATATGAAAATAATTCACCAACTAAATAAAAATAACATATTTATAAAGTGTTTCATATAACAATTCTGGTGTTATGCTCCCATGTATGTTTTATATGCGTAAGAAAAAAATTAAGTGATCATCTTACCTTTTCTACTTTTTCATAGTTTCTAAATTTCATCTGAAATTAAAAAAAAAAAGATAACATAAGCCTATACATACACTTATTTACATGAAATAAGGAGCCTGTACCAAAAACTGTTTCCCCCTCCATGTTCTAAGAATCTAATTGCTCAAAGCAGAAATGGTGTCCAGAAACAGAACTAATTTACACAATTTTACTGGCACTTGGTATGAGGGCATGTCTTAGCGTCACAAACTGATTTAGCTAATTAACACCTTTCACAACTTCATCATCCAACAAATTCAATTCAGAAATGAATACCACAATCACACACATAGAAATGAAATAGAATTATATTAACATCCAAGTCTAAAATGTTGACAAAAACATTCATCTATGCTGGTAAACAAACTTGTTCAAATATCTTTACATTACTCTCTGTCCCTACCTTTTGGTACCCTACTCCCCTCCTCCTCCTCCCCCCCCCCCCCCCCCCCCCCCCTCAAGGTTCAGGGTGCAGGGGAAACTTGCTTCTCTACAGTAAGCATGCACCTGCTATTGCCAGTACACCGAATTTACAGATAAAATGAGTTTCCAGTGTCCTCTAAAACTCAGGGTGATCTTCCTTTAATTAACCAATTTTCATTATATTCAAGGTGTGGCATTAGGAAGCTGGGCTTGTCATAGAAACCAGTACAAGCAAAGTTTATCTGGATTCTCGTACTTTGTGTCAAGAGTGACAATAGAGCTATTTCAGAAGATCATCTCAGGAACCCTGATCTTGTCACACATCCTCATTATCAAAGAGAAAATTATGTGGAGGAAGAAAAAAAGACAGAAGGGCCAAGAAAGTTACAACTTATAAACCCTCAAATTGAGTTGTAGGGTGAATTTAGAACAAGTTGACATGCAGAATAACAAACCCGCAAATCAAATATGGCAGACTCACTTAAAAGCTTGCTGCATAATTCCTTTAGAGACACTGAATAGAATCCCCATGGGTTGCCCATATTTGATCTGCATTATACTTTCATTTTTACCATTACCATTGAAATTGCACAGTCTCTTGTTACATAAAAAGAAGGACTCAAAAATGAGACATCTGGAACACAAAAACAGGTTTATAGACTAATATTTTGGTTTCAGATATAGGGTTCCTTTGTGATCAGGAGAATTATCACAAGAAAATCAGTATTATGCTATTTAAAGGCCTAATTACACTCATTGTTGAGGAAGATGAAGGAATAATCTAGGCTTCCTTCCACTGGACACTCAATAAGTGTTTTTCCTGCTTATACTTGCTGTACTTGAACAAATAACTCTGTTTATAGATTTGTAACATTTTTTTTTTGTTTGTTTGTTTGTTTTAAAGAGCCCTTTTTCCCTCCAGGTAAGTTAAAGCAGCATCAGTTTTAGACACTGAAAACTCACCGCTCTACTACTATTATGGCTTATGGAAACAACAGATGCTGACAGTAGAGAGCGAGTTTCCAGTTTCTTTCTGAAACTCAAGGTTGATTAAAGGGATAACAACTGTTATTTTTGGACAAAAATGGACTTTCCTGGGGTAAACAATGATTTTCTCATACTTACCAATGGTTAATGAATAATTAATGAATCCATTCCAGCATTCAATGTTAGTACTTTTATTTCCTAATTTTTTTTTCTGTAAAAGATTATTAAAGAGGTGTTGCCATCTATGAAGGTTCTTGGGTTTGATGGCAAGCACAAATTCCAGAATAATTGCGATAATCACTGTGCTGTTTTGATGGTAAAATGGAGTTTATTATATTTCTATGAGTTGCTTATAATGTATTTATTGTGAAATGTAAATATCATACAAACAGTTGTTCTCCCTTTAAATTAAAGCAACAAGGGCAAACAATTGGTGTCAAAATAAGGCAAGTTTTATGATCCATTCAACCACTTTAAGTTGGGTTCACTAGTTTCAGCGATTTCCCAGTTCACAGTTTCCATGGTAAATCATGACCCTGGGGAACAATTTCAATATGAACATCACTTCTATAATCAGCTTGTAAGTTATCCTATGGGGATGAATATCCACTAAGCTGTTGTTTGAATTTTGCACAAATTGTGTAATAACCTTATAATGAAGCTGTATGTACGTTACTGATAATCTCAAAGTAGTAGCAACACTTGAAATCATTATGTTATGTAATGTTCTGTTGTATTATATTATATTATATTATATTATATTATATTATATTATATTATATTATATTATATTTAAGTGCAAAAGTACCCACTGATCTTTAATGAGCAGTTCTGATATTTTGTTCAATTTTGTTCAATTTTGCACAGAATTGCAATGGAATGTGTTGTTTATTTCATTTCTGCCATTTTCCCACTTTTTAAAACACGACAAGTGGAATATAGCTAAAAAATTTGAAAAGACCATTGTAAGCAATATGCAGTATTTGTTATGTAAAGGAAATAAAAAAAAATCAGGTAAAGGGTTATTAATCTAAATATGTGTAAAATTAACCATGTACAAAAATATATAAATAAATAAATAAATTTCTCAAAGGATGAGTTAAGAAACAGCAGACAAAAACAAGAGCACTGCAAAGTGTGGGAATATGAGTCTTAATTTTTTGCAATGAGAAGAAACCTTGTATATTCTACAATATTATTGCCAATCTCCGCACAGGAAGCACTACAGTAACCATCATAAATATTGTGTAAACTTAACTGAAGCCTTGGTTATGGGGGGATTTTAACAATTAATAATTTGAATTTCCTGTATTTTTCTTATTCAAGTTCAATAGTAACTAAGTATGTATCATTCCAAGTTTTGGAGATATACGAGCTGGGAAATTGAAAAAATGCAGTTTGGAAAGTAGGTCAAATCATTGTGATGTTTTTGCTATACAAGTGCGGGTTACCTGAAATCAATTTGAAAGACTTCAGTGGAAGACTTAAAACCACAAAATGTCATAAACAGTACTACGTTTTAAAATTTTGAAATAAATTAAGTTGAAAGAAGGATGGGGGAATCCATGACCTGCGAAATAACTTCACCGAAACTATTTATTCTTACCACTTTTAACATTTTTCCATACATTTTACAAAGATGATATACGTCAGAGAAAGTTAATTCTAAGTCAAGACCTAGATTGCATACAGTTGTAAGTTTATTGGTTGTTGTTGTTTTTTTTCCTCTTATTAACCTGCTTTATCAATCTATCAAGGGGCTTTTGAAGTGCCTACAGACTGCACTAGGGTTGAAAATTGAACAAATCATGTCCTATGTTGCCTGAAAGTCAGTTGGGTTTTTGTATTTCAATAAAACATTTTGAGTACAANTACAGCCCAGAAAAACAGAAACCTGTGTGTTTCTGTTCAGAGCCCTCAAAACCTCCCTTTTTACTTGGACCAAAATTTAACAGTAGGAAAGCATAAAATACCTATAAAATTATTAAATTACCAATTTAAAATCTTGTCACTTACAGTGGTTAGCCAGTTAGTTGACCTCTTTCCATGGAGTTATAAATCAGTCAGTGCTTTTCCACAAAAATTATTTCAGCTTTGATCTTAAAAACTGAACCATACATGGAATTTATACTAATGTTTTTAACAGCTAAAATTCAAATATGTTCAAAAGACTTTGCAATGTAAAATTCAAGTTAAAGAATATTGTTAGGGATTCAGATTTTTAAACGTATTCTTTCAGTATCTTACAGGGAAAATCGGCAACTTATTTTTGATTCAAAATATCATATGGTAGATGACATAATATGGTATAAAAATATGACATGTCCATTGACAACATCAACCCTGGCCTTCCTCATAAATTAATTAGAATTCAGTTATGGTATGCTCACTCCTCAATTTAAGGATTGGCAATGAATTTCATTTTTACTTCTTTTTTATTTATTTTTTGAGTGGGCCATCAGAATATTCATTTTTAATTTCAGTATTATCACAAACATCTTATTAAATATACCTATTAATATATCTTATTAAATTGATCATTTTCCACCAATTACTTGCCCCTATGCCATTAAGTCAAGTAGTATTATTAATTGCTTAGTTACATTGTTTTGTCCTGCATCCCTTCACATTTGTACGAGTGACACAATAATTTCTGTGAGGGAAAAATATACCTCATTTCTTGAGACATAACTTTGAAAAACAGAGCCACCTGACCAATTGTAAGATTATCGAAAGCTTGTTTACAAATTGCAGTATAAAGAAATTATTAATGTCAAGGTCTTTTTCACTTTTTTTTTTTTTTTTTCTTTGTCTTTATTTACTTTTGATTGTGAAGGCACTACAAGAAGCACAGGAACTGGAAAAGGATGCTAAAATCTGCTTAAATGTGCTCTTTTAAAACACCCTTCACTGGCAGAAATAATAACTAATTCTGACATCTGATTAAGGAATGTTAATCTCCAGAGAATTGCCTCAAGACTTGTCCCAGAGGTGTAAAAAAAAAAAACCATGCACCTCTTGTCCATGAGACATTAAAAATGATGCCTGCTGACTGAAAAGTGCTATCAAGGTCTTTCAGTGTCTGTTGACTCATCATCTCAAAAGTGATTTTTTTTTTTTTTTTTTTGGATGTACATATAATTGAGATTCAATTGCCACATACAACATGCGGGTGGTGTGTTTGGATAAATGAATAAATACTGCTCCTGAAGGCCCTGCAGCATGACTGGTATTTAAATCATCCAACAGTGTTTTCATCAAGCAGGCAAATAAAAATTAATAAAATAACAATAAATTGCAGAAAAGAGGCTGGTTTTAAAAATCCAATTAGTCGCTTCAGACTCAGTTCAGGCATCTTGCCGCAAAGTCTCTCAAGAGAGTTACAAGATTATTCTACGATTGGGACATGGAGATTTTTTTTACACATGGACCATTTACATGTAAANGTTAAAAAAAAAATGTTTCTGTCTAGGTCACTTACTGATGAGAGTAAATGTACCATATTATCGTATATAGATTATACATCCAACTGTATTGGTATATACTATGCCCAGTGCCACAAAATGCATTTAAGCATGGGAGATTGGGCAAGACATCTGAAT